TGGGAAGAACAGCCCCAGGGCAGTTGGGAAGAACAGCCCCAGGGCAGTTCGGAAGAACAGTCCCAGGGCAGTTCGGAAGAACAGCCCCAGGGCAGTTGGGAAGAACAGCCCCAGGGCAGTTGGGAAGAACAGCCCCAGGGCAGTTGGGAAGAACAGCCCCAGGGCATTTGGGAAGAACAGCCCCAGGGCAGTTGGGAAGAAAAGAACCCCAGGGCATTTCCCAGGGCAGTTGGGCATGGGAAGAACAGCCCCAGGGCAGTTGGGAAGAACAGCCCCAGGGCAGTTGGGAAGAACAGCCCCAGGGCATTTGGGAAGAACAGCCCCAGGGCAGTTGGGAAGAACAGCCCCAGAGCATTTGGGAAGAACAGTCCCAGGGCAGTTGGGAAGAACAGCCCCAGGGCATTTGGGAAGAACAGCCCCAGGGCAGTTGGGAAGAACAGCCCCAGGGCATTTGGGAAGAACAGTCCCAGGCCAGTTGGGAAGAACAGTCCCAGGGCAGTTGGGAAGAACAGTCCCAGGGCTCTGTGCCGTGGAATCCATACTTTCTGGCAAAGAAAATAAAAGCGGATCCTATCTCTACAACGTATAGGGTCATTGACGGTCTGTTCAAAAATCAGTGTCTGCTTTCAGCAAAAATATTTAAAACCCATCCCTTATCTCAAGTGCCCTTCAATGCAGAGTTAACAGCACTCATGATGCTGAAGACTCTTGAGGTGGTGCCCCATGTGGTGGCGCTCTGTAAGGCTCCCTACACAATCATCACGAGGTTCACCTCCGATAAAACCATACGGGAATGGCTTCTGTCAACGGATGGACATATCCATGACGTGAGTTTCATGAGAGCCATTCTCCAAATAGTCAATGCTGTGGACGCGATCCATAAACATGGAATTATCCACAATCTCCTCATTGACGAGAATATTATGATAAACCATGTTGGCAATAAAACGTTCGTAACTATAGATAACTTCTGTTTAGCTACAAAGTTAGACGAACAGGAGCCCCATCCATGTGGGGCACTGAATAAAATTCAAGATAAATTGTGGTGGGTAGCACCAGAAGTCTTTTATGGGGTTAACGCTTCAACAGCCTCCGATGTTTTCGCCATGTGCGATGTGATTAATACTATTTGCAAAAGAATATGGAAGAAAACTCTTCCACTCCAGCCCCTTCTTGAGCGAGGTAGATCTAAGAACCCCGCTAACAGACCAACCCTCGCTCAATTCAGGGAAAAGGTCATCGAGCTGCTTGAAAGAAGCCTCTACCCTGACTGATTTGCTTAACTTTCAACTTTGTTATTACTATTAATACTTTTATGAATACTATGCTTCCTCCATATAGTCTTTTGTATAATCTTTTTATTTTTACGGAGGGGGAATGAGAGGAGACAGTGGAGGCGAGAACAGGATCACCACTGATATATTGAGAGCTACACACACACTGACTCACTCTCTCTCTCTCTTTACGTGACCCTTATAAATGTTTATACATATTACACCCGCTATTTATGTCCTAATACAGCAATCAGCTACTATTAGAGACTTGTATTTAACCCACTACCTGCATGATGACCCGTACAGGTAAACCAAACTATTTTCTGACCTTCTATACAACGAACACCTGCCTAAAGCAACCAAAACAACTTATACATTACTTAACACCGCAGAGATAAAACCCAACATTATTGTCCTCCCTCTCATACAGCGACCACTTGTTTTTAGCGACCAGATCAAGTTACACACACTGACAAAGTATCTGTTGGCAGGCAGCTACAGGTAAAAACTGGTATTCCCGTCTCCTCCCAGAACGGCCACCTGTCTGTAGCGATCTCAACAACAAAAACTTGCCATACCGGTAAAGCCACGCGTCAAAGGTTATCTCGACCTTCCATAGAACCACCACCTGGAACCAGCTGTCTAGTGTTAGGTTAGGGTAAATATAACAGCGAAATTGATCACTTGGAGATTAGGCTTTAGACCATCACGTGGCACCACCGACATGATCTTTACTGCCCGCTAGATACAGGAAAGTGCAGAGAACAGTATGATGACTTGTACATGGCCTTCATTAACCTTACTAAGGCCTTCGACTTAGTCAACAGGGAAGCCCACCAAAATTCATTGACATTATGAGGCAACGCCACGATGGCTTGAACGGCTGTGCCCTGCACAATGGCACCCAGTCTGAGTTCTTCCCCATCCAAACGGGGGTAAAACAATGATGTGTACTGGCACCAACTCTCTTTTCCATTTCCTGGCTGCCTTCCTTACTCGTCCCAATGCCAATTTACCCGGAAGGGTGGACATCCAGTAACTGATGAAGGGACTTTTCAACATACGACGACTCCAGGCATGGGAACGAGTTCTCGTCCTTAACGTACTCGTTAAGTCGGTGCTTAAGAACCCGCAAAGACAACACCTCCAACAGGTCGTGAAACAGTTGCACGAGACGAAGGGGTTGAGACCAGTGTGGCCCTTCGTGTCCGCCGGCTTCTGCTGCCTGGCGGTGTTTCTGTATATCATCTGTAAAAAGATGAAATGTTCAGAGGGAAGTTGGTTTGGCATCATTCTGTTCCTTAGAGGATGGGTACTGCCAAGCCGGTTTATCCTCTGTACTAGACTAAGTCCAAAGAAGAGATGAGATATTTGCCAGAGTATTAAAGGAATGTAAGGAAGAGCTTAGTATGCCCTTAGCAAAGTTGTTTAACATGTCATTAAAAACAGGTGGAGTACCAGAATCCTGGTGGATAGCGAATGTAATACCGATTTTCAAGAAGGGGGATAGATCACTATCCTCTAACTACCGCCCAATCAGTCTAACATCAATAGTAGGCAAATTACTGGAAGCAATCATTTCAAACTCTATTCGAAATCACCTGGAGAAGCACCGATTGATCAATAATTCCCAGCCAAGAGTGAGGAAAGTCGGCGTAGTTAGGTAGCACACACACACACACACACACACACACACACACATAGATAGATAGATAGATAAAGTTAAGATTAATAAGTGAAGTTAAGAGAGTACACTACCAGAGCATGTGGGCAGCTGAAGTGTGATGGGAGGGTTGAGGTCGACCCGCCTGGGACCACAACACCGAGAGCAGAGATCATCTTGCTCCTTCAACTTACTTAACCCCTGAAACATAAGGAAACTATCAAGAATATTACTCTACTGATTCTTAAGCTTGAATCTTGATTTTGAGGATTCTTTTTAAGCTTTTTTGAATCGTGAACCTTTGTGATTCTTTGTGATTGGTTTAAATCTTGTGAGTCCTTTAATTCTTTAGTGATTCGTTGAGGTTGAAGCTTGAATCACTGAATCATTACAACAACAATCATCACCAAAACAACCACGATCACCACAACATCATCACTACAACAACAACCATCATCACCACAACCACAACCACCATCACCACAACCATCATCACCACTACAACCATCATCATCATCACCACAACAACCATCATCACCACAACCATCATCACCACTACAACCATCATCATCATCACCACCACAACCATCACCACATCAACAACAACCATCATCACCATTACAACCATTACCATAACAACCATCACCACCACTACAACCATCATCATCATCACCAGAACAACCATCAAGACAACCATCACCACCACAACCATTACCACCACAACCATTATCACCAGTGCAACCATCATCATCATCACCACCACAACCATCACCACATCAACAACAACCATCATCACCATTACAACCATCACCATAACAACCATCAACACCACTACAACCATCATCATCATCACCACAACAACCATCATCACCACAACCATCATCACCACTACAACCATCATCATCACCACCACAACCATCACCACATCAACAACAACCATCATCACCATTACAACCATCACCATAACAACCATCAACACCACTACAACCATCATCATCATCACCACAACAACCATCATCAAGACAATCATCACCACCACAACCATCACCACCATAACCATTACCACCACAACCATTCATCACCATCACCACAATAGGCACTACAAGTCAAAATATAATCATTAACATCCCTAAAGTACACAACACGACACCACACGAATTGTAACGATATTCAAGAAATACAAATATTAATATATTTTTTAATTCTACATGAAAACAATTATGTCGAATCGAAAAGTTTATATAATCTGTGCCCTAATAGCGGTGTCGTTATGCCTGTACGACATCCACAACCACACGTCCTTCGTCGAGTGGGACAATAAGATATTGTCCGAGATGGCGATGAGGCTCCACCAGCAAAGATACTGGTTCTCGCCTCCAGCCCTTGACCTCCAACCAAGGAAGTTCTCGTCTGAGTGGGAGCGAGTTCCCGTCCTAAACGTACTAGTTAAGTCGGTGCTGAAGAACCGGCAAAGACAGCACCTCGAGCAGGTCGTGAAACACTTGCACGAGGCGAGACCAGTGAGCCCCTTCGTGTCCGCCGCCTTCTGTTTCCTGGTGGTGCTCCTGTATATTGCCCGCAAAACGGCAAGTCTATTTATTAGCCTTTGGTTTAGACTAAGACCACAGAAGCCCCAGGGCATTTCGGAAGAACAGCCCCAGGGCATTTCGGAAGAACAGCCCCAGGGCATTTCGGAAGAACAGCCCCAGGGCATTTCGGAAGAACAGCCCCAGGGCATTTCGGAAGAACAGCCCCAGGGCATTTCGGAAGAACAGCCCCAGGGCATTTCGGAAGAACAGCCCCAGGGCAGTTCGGAAGAACAGCCCCAGGGCAGTTCGGAAGAACAGCCCCAGGGCAGTTCGGAAGAACAGTCCCAGGGCAGTTCGGAAGAACAGCCCCAGGGCAGTTCGGAAGAACAGCCCCAGGGCAGTTGGGAAGAACAGCCCCAGGGCAGTTGGGAAGAACAGCCCCAGGGCAGTTCGGAAGAACAGTCCCAGGGCAGTTCGGAAGAACAGCCCCAGGGCAGTTGGGAAGAACAGCCCCAGGGCAGTTGGGAAGAACAGCCCCAGGGCAGTTGGGAAGAACAGCCCCAGGGCATTTGGGAAGAACAGCCCCAGGGCAGTTGGGAAGAACAGTCCCAGGGCAGTTGGGAAGAACAGCCCCCCAGGGCATTTGGGAAGAACAGCCCCAGGGCATTTGGGAAGAACAGCCCCAGGGCAGTTGGGAAGGACAGAACAGCCCAGGGCAGTTGGGAAGAACAGCCCCAGGGCATTTGGGAAGAACAGCCCCAGGGCAGTTGGGAAGAACAGCCCCAGCCCCAGGGCATTTGGGAAGAACAGCCCCAGGGCAGTTGGGAAGAACAGCCCCAGGGCATTTGGGAAGAACAGCCCCAGGGCAGTTGGGAAGAACAGCCCCAGGGCATTTGGGAAGAACAGTCCCAGGCCAGTTGGGAAGAACAGTCCCAGGGCAGTTGGGAAGAACAGTCCCAGGGCTCTGTGCCGTGGAATCCATACTTTCTGGCAAAGAAAATAAAAGCGGATCCTATCTCTACAACGTATAGGGTCATTGACGGTCTGTTCAAAAATCAGTGTCTGCTTTCAGCAAAAATATTTAAAACCCATCCCTTATCTCAAGTGCCCTTCAATGCAGAGTTAACAGCACTCATGATGCTGAAGACTCTTGAGGTGGTGCCCCATGTGGTGGCGCTCTGTAAGGCTCCCTACACAATCATCACGAGGTTCACCTCCGATAAAACCATACGGGAATGGCTTCTGTCAACGGATGGACATATCCATGACGTGAGTTTCATGAGAGCCATTCTCCAAATAGTCAATGCTGTGGACGCGATCCATAAACATGGAATTATCCACAATCTCCTCATTGACGAGAATATTATGATAAACCATGTTGGCAATAAAACGTTCGTAACTATAGATAACTTCTGTTTAGCTACAAAGTTAGACGAACAGGAGCCCCATCCATGTGGGGCACTGAATAAAATTCAAGATAAATTGTGGTGGGTAGCACCAGAAGTCTTTTATGGGGTTAACGCTTCAACAGCCTCCGATGTTTTCGCCATGTGCGATGTGATTAATACTATTTGCAAAAGAATATGGAAGAAAACTCTTCCACTCCAGCCCCTTCTTGAGCGAGGTAGATCTAAGAACCCCGCTAACAGACCAACCCTCGCTCAATTCAGGGAAAAGGTCATCGAGCTGCTTGAAAGAAGCCTCTACCCTGACTGATTTGCTTAACTTTCAACTTTGTTATTACTATTAATACTTTTATGAATACTATGCTTCCTCCATATAGTCTTTTGTATAATCTTTTTATTTTTACGGAGGGGGAATGAGAGGAGACAGTGGAGGCGAGAACAGGATCACCACTGATATATTGAGAGCTACACACACACTGACTCACTCTCTCTCTCTCTTTACGTGACCCTTATAAATGTTTATACATATTACACCCGCTATTTATGTCCTAATACAGCAATCAGCTACTATTAGAGACTTGTATTTAACCCACTACCTGCATGATGACCCGTACAGGTAAACCAAACTATTTTCTGACCTTCTATACAACGAACACCTGCCTAAAGCAACCAAAACAACTTATACATTACTTAACACCGCAGAGATAAAACCCAACATTATTGTCCTCCCTCTCATACAGCGACCACTTGTTTTTAGCGACCAGATCAAGTTACACACACTGACAAAGTATCTGTTGGCAGGCAGCTACAGGTAAAAACTGGTATTCCCGTCTCCTCCCAGAACGGCCACCTGTCTGTAGCGATCTCAACAACAAAAACTTGCCATACCGGTAAAGCCACGCGTCAAAGGTTATCTCGACCTTCCATAGAACCACCACCTGGAACCAGCTGTCTAGTGTTAGGTTAGGGTAAATATAACAGCGAAATTGATCACTTGGAGATTAGGCTTTAGACCATCACGTGGCACCACCGACATGATCTTTACTGCCCGCTAGATACAGGAAAGTGCAGAGAACAGTATGATGACTTGTACATGGCCTTCATTAACCTTACTAAGGCCTTCGACTTAGTCAACAGGGAAGCCCACCAAAATTCATTGACATTATGAGGCAACGCCACGATGGCTTGAACGGCTGTGCCCTGCACAATGGCACCCAGTCTGAGTTCTTCCCCATCCAAACGGGGGTAAAACAATGATGTGTACTGGCACCAACTCTCTTTTCCATTTCCTGGCTGCCTTCCTTACTCGTCCCAATGCCAATTTACCCGGAAGGGTGGACATCCAGTAACTGATGAAGGGACTTTTCAACATACGACGACTCCAGGCATGGGAACGAGTTCTCGTCCTTAACGTACTCGTTAAGTCGGTGCTTAAGAACCCGCAAAGACAACACCTCCAACAGGTCGTGAAACAGTTGCACGAGACGAAGGGGTTGAGACCAGTGTGGCCCTTCGTGTCCGCCGGCTTCTGCTGCCTGGCGGTGTTTCTGTATATCATCTGTAAAAAGATGAAATGTTCAGAGGGAAGTTGGTTTGGCATCATTCTGTTCCTTAGAGGATGGGTACTGCCAAGCCGGTTTATCCTCTGTACTAGACTAAGTCCAAAGAAGAGATGAGATATTTGCCAGAGTATTAAAGGAATGTAAGGAAGAGCTTAGTATGCCCTTAGCAAAGTTGTTTAACATGTCATTAAAAACAGGTGGAGTACCAGAATCCTGGTGGATAGCGAATGTAATACCGATTTTCAAGAAGGGGGATAGATCACTATCCTCTAACTACCGCCCAATCAGTCTAACATCAATAGTAGGCAAATTACTGGAAGCAATCATTTCAAACTCTATTCGAAATCACCTGGAGAAGCACCGATTGATCAATAATTCCCAGCCAAGAGTGAGGAAAGTCGGCGTAGTTAGGTAGCACACACACACACACACACACACACACACACACACATAGATAGATAGATAGATAAAGTTAAGATTAATAAGTGAAGTTAAGAGAGTACACTACCAGAGCATGTGGGCAGCTGAAGTGTGATGGGAGGGTTGAGGTCGACCCGCCTGGGACCACAACACCGAGAGCAGAGATCATCTTGCTCCTTCAACTTACTTAACCCCTGAAACATAAGGAAACTATCAAGAATATTACTCTACTGATTCTTAAGCTTGAATCTTGATTTTGAGGATTCTTTTTAAGCTTTTTTGAATCGTGAACCTTTGTGATTCTTTGTGATTGGTTTAAATCTTGTGAGTCCTTTAATTCTTTAGTGATTCGTTGAGGTTGAAGCTTGAATCACTGAATCATTACAACAACAATCATCACCAAAACAACCACGATCACCACAACATCATCACTACAACAACAACCATCATCACCACAACCACAACCACCATCACCACAACCATCATCACCACTACAACCATCATCATCATCACCACAACAACCATCATCACCACAACCATCATCACCACTACAACCATCATCATCATCACCACCACAACCATCACCACATCAACAACAACCATCATCACCATTACAACCATTACCATAACAACCATCACCACCACTACAACCATCATCATCATCACCAGAACAACCATCAAGACAACCATCACCACCACAACCATTACCACCACAACCATTATCACCAGTGCAACCATCATCATCATCACCACCACAACCATCACCACATCAACAACAACCATCATCACCATTACAACCATCACCATAACAACCATCAACACCACTACAACCATCATCATCATCACCACAACAACCATCATCACCACAACCATCATCACCACTACAACCATCATCATCACCACCACAACCATCACCACATCAACAACAACCATCATCACCATTACAACCATCACCATAACAACCATCAACACCACTACAACCATCATCATCATCACCACAACAACCATCATCAAGACAATCATCACCACCACAACCATCACCACCATAACCATTACCACCACAACCATTCATCACCATCACCACAATAGGCACTACAAGTCAAAATATAATCATTAACATCCCTAAAGTACACAACACGACACCACACGAATTGTAACGATATTCAAGAAATACAAATATTAATATATTTTTTAATTCTACATGAAAACAATTATGTCGAATCGAAAAGTTTATATAATCTGTGCCCTAATAGCGGTGTCGTTATGCCTGTACGACATCCACAACCACACGTCCTTCGTCGAGTGGGACAATAAGATATTGTCCGAGATGGCGATGAGGCTCCACCAGCAAAGATACTGGTTCTCGCCTCCAGCCCTTGACCTCCAACCAAGGAAGTTCTCGTCTGAGTGGGAGCGAGTTCCCGTCCTAAACGTACTAGTTAAGTCGGTGCTGAAGAACCGGCAAAGACAGCACCTCGAGCAGGTCGTGAAACACTTGCACGAGGCGAGACCAGTGAGCCCCTTCGTGTCCGCCGCCTTCTGTTTCCTGGTGGTGCTCCTGTATATTGCCCGCAAAACGGCAAGTCTATTTATTAGCCTTTGGTTTAGACTAAGACCACAGAAGCCCCAGGGCATTTCGGAAGAACAGCCCCAGGGCATTTCGGAAGAACAGCCCCAGGGCATTTCGGAAGAACAGCCCCAGGGCATTTCGGAAGAACAGCCCCAGGGCATTTCGGAAGAACAGCCCCAGGGCATTTCGGAAGAACAGCCCCAGGGCATTTCGGAAGAACAGCCCCAGGGCAGTTCGGAAGAACAGCCCCAGGGCAGTTCGGAAGAACAGCCCCAGGGCAGTTCGGAAGAACAGCCCCAGGGCAGTTCGGAAGAACAGTCCCAGGGCAGTTCGGAAGAACAGCCCCAGGGCAGTTCGGAAGAACAGCCCCAGGGCAGTTGGGAAGAACAGCCCCAGGGCAGTTGGGAAGAACAGCCCCAGGGCAGTTCGGAAGAACAGTCCCAGGGCAGTTCGGAAGAACAGCCCCAGGGCAGTTGGGAAGAACAGCCCCAGGGCAGTTGGGAAGAACAGCCCCAGGGCAGTTGGGAAGAACAGCCCCAGGGCATTTGGGAAGAACAGCCCCAGGGCAGTTTTTAGCCAGGGAAGAAGGCAGGGCATTTGGGCCCCAGGGCATTTGGGAAGAACAGCCCCAGGGCAGTTGGGAAGAACAGCCCCAGGGCAGTTGGGAAGAACAGCCCCAGGGCATTTGGGAAGAACAGCCCCAGGGCAGTTGGGAAGAACAGCCCCAGAGCATTTGGGAAGAACAGTCCCAGGGCAGTTGGGAAGAACAGCCCCAGGGCATTTGGGAAGAACAGCCCCAGGGCAGTTGGGAAGAACAGCCCCAGGGCATTTGGGAAGAACAGTCCCAGGCCAGTTGGGAAGAACAGTCCCAGGGCAGTTGGGAAGAACAGTCCCAGGGCTCTGTGCCGTGGAATCCATACTTTCTGGCAAAGAAAATAAAAGCGGATCCTATCTCTACAACGTATAGGGTCATTGACGGTCTGTTCAAAAATCAGTGTCTGCTTTCAGCAAAAATATTTAAAACCCATCCCTTATCTCAAGTGCCCTTCAATGCAGAGTTAACAGCACTCATGATGCTGAAGACTCTTGAGGTGGTGCCCCATGTGGTGGCGCTCTGTAAGGCTCCCTACACAATCATCACGAGGTTCACCTCCGATAAAACCATACGGGAATGGCTTCTGTCAACGGATGGACATATCCATGACGTGAGTTTCATGAGAGCCATTCTCCAAATAGTCAATGCTGTGGACGCGATCCATAAACATGGAATTATCCACAATCTCCTCATTGACGAGAATATTATGATAAACCATGTTGGCAATAAAACGTTCGTAACTATAGATAACTTCTGTTTAGCTACAAAGTTAGACGAACAGGAGCCCCATCCATGTGGGGCACTGAATAAAATTCAAGATAAATTGTGGTGGGTAGCACCAGAAGTCTTTTATGGGGTTAACGCTTCAACAGCCTCCGATGTTTTCGCCATGTGCGATGTGATTAATACTATTTGCAAAAGAATATGGAAGAAAACTCTTCCACTCCAGCCCCTTCTTGAGCGAGGTAGATCTAAGAACCCCGCTAACAGACCAACCCTCGCTCAATTCAGGGAAAAGGTCATCGAGCTGCTTGAAAGAAGCCTCTACCCTGACTGATTTGCTTAACTTTCAACTTTGTTATTACTATTAATACTTTTATGAATACTATGCTTCCTCCATATAGTCTTTTGTATAATCTTTTTATTTTTACGGAGGGGGAATGAGAGGAGACAGTGGAGGCGAGAACAGGATCACCACTGATATATTGAGAGCTACACACACACTGACTCACTCTCTCTCTCTCTTTACGTGACCCTTATAAATGTTTATACATATTACACCCGCTATTTATGTCCTAATACAGCAATCAGCTACTATTAGAGACTTGTATTTAACCCACTACCTGCATGATGACCCGTACAGGTAAACCAAACTATTTTCTGACCTTCTATACAACGAACACCTGCCTAAAGCAACCAAAACAACTTATACATTACTTAACACCGCAGAGATAAAACCCAACATTATTGTCCTCCCTCTCATACAGCGACCACTTGTTTTTAGCGACCAGATCAAGTTACACACACTGACAAAGTATCTGTTGGCAGGCAGCTACAGGTAAAAACTGGTATTCCCGTCTCCTCCCAGAACGGCCACCTGTCTGTAGCGATCTCAACAACAAAAACTTGCCATACCGGTAAAGCCACGCGTCAAAGGTTATCTCGACCTTCCATAGAACCACCACCTGGAACCAGCTGTCTAGTGTTAGGTTAGGGTAAATATAACAGCGAAATTGATCACTTGGAGATTAGGCTTTAGACCATCACGTGGCACCACCGACATGATCTTTACTGCCCGCTAGATACAGGAAAGTGCAGAGAACAGTATGATGACTTGTACATGGCCTTCATTAACCTTACTAAGGCCTTCGACTTAGTCAACAGGGAAGCCCACCAAAATTCATTGACATTATGAGGCAACGCCACGATGGCTTGAACGGCTGTGCCCTGCACAATGGCACCCAGTCTGAGTTCTTCCCCATCCAAACGGGGGTAAAACAATGATGTGTACTGGCACCAACTCTCTTTTCCATTTCCTGGCTGCCTTCCTTACTCGTCCCAATGCCAATTTACCCGGAAGGGTGGACATCCAGTAACTGATGAAGGGACTTTTCAACATACGACGACTCCAGGCATGGGAACGAGTTCTCGTCCTTAACGTACTCGTTAAGTCGGTGCTTAAGAACCCGCAAAGACAACACCTCCAACAGGTCGTGAAACAGTTGCACGAGACGAAGGGGTTGAGACCAGTGTGGCCCTTCGTGTCCGCCGGCTTCTGCTGCCTGGCGGTGTTTCTGTATATCATCTGTAAAAAGATGAAATGTTCAGAGGGAAGTTGGTTTGGCATCATTCTGTTCCTTAGAGGATGGGTACTGCCAAGCCGGTTTATCCTCTGTACTAGACTAAGTCCAAAGAAGAGATGAGATATTTGCCAGAGTATTAAAGGAATGTAAGGAAGAGCTTAGTATGCCCTTAGCAAAGTTGTTTAACATGTCATTAAAAACAGGTGGAGTACCAGAATCCTGGTGGATAGCGAATGTAATACCGATTTTCAAGAAGGGGGATAGATCACTATCCTCTAACTACCGCCCAATCAGTCTAACATCAATAGTAGGCAAATTACTGGAAGCAATCATTTCAAACTCTATTCGAAATCACCTGGAGAAGCACCGATTGATCAATGATTCCCAGCATGGCTTCACAAGCGGACGTTCTTGCCTAACTAATCTATTAACATTCTTTTCATCAGTTTTCGAATCGGTGGACGAGGGGCACAATTATGATGTTGTATATCTCGACTTTAGCAAAGCCTTCGACAGAGTCCCCCACGAAAGACTAATTAGAAAGGTAGAAGCTCATGGCATCAAAGGTGACATCCTTGAATGGATTAGGGCGTGGTTACAGGACAGGAAACATCGAGTGAGCAATAACGGCACTAAGTCCCATTGGAGCAACGTCACAAGTGGAGTTCCCCAAGGCTCAGTACTTGGACCATTATTATTTATTATATACATAAACGACATAGATATCGGCATTGACAGCAACATAAGTAAATTTGCTGATGACACTAAAATAGGACGTGTTATCAAATCTGACGAGGACTCGGCAAAACTACAGGAAGATCTAAAAAAAATTTTCGAATGGTCTGAAAAATGGCAGATGAAATTCAACGTCGACAAATGTAAAGTACTCAGTATAGGAGATGTAAACAGGGAAACCACATACCAGATGAACAACGATGCCATAGAGAAATCCGACTGCGAGAGAGATTTAGGAGTAATGATAAGTAGGAACCTTAAGCCAAGTAAACAATGTGTTTTTGCTCGTAACAAGGCTAATAAAGTACTTGGGTTCATACAAAGGAGTGTTAGTTACAAGATTAGCGAGGTCATCCTAAAACTGTATCTTGCTCTTGTGAGACCACACGTGGATTACGCAGTTCAGTTCTGGTCACCGTATTACAGAATGGATATAGAATCCTTGGAAAGAATTCAGAGGAGAATGACAAGACTAATCCCGGGCTTTAGGAACCTTGAGTATAGAGACAGGTTAAAGCATCTTAATTTGCACTCCCTTGAGAGACGTAGAGCGAGGGGCGACCTGATAGAGGTGTATAAGTGGAAGGCAGGGCTAAACAAAGGGGACATTACAAAGGTACTCAAACTATCCAACCAGGAGCGAACTCGTAACAATGGTTTTAAATTAGACAAATTTAGATTTAGGCGTGAAATAGGTAAACACTGGTTTGGAAACAGAGTAGTGGATGAATGGAACAAGTTACCAAATATCATCATTAACTCGAATACGCTGAATAGCTTCAAACATAGGTTGGATGCTCATATGAGCAATAGGGGTTGGGTGTAAACGGGACTGCCCAGTATGAGCCAATAGGCCCGCTGCAGTTTCCTCCATTCTTATGTTCTTAATATAGTATAAAATGCAAGATGGCGCCTGACCTGACGTAGACAGCTAGTTCGGGTTTCCTCCACTAAGCGTTGGGCAAGTTCAGATCGGTTAATTCTCTCTGAAAGTTTATAATTTAACACTAAAATTCAATTATAGGAATAAAGATTATGAGTATTTTGACCTATTAGATATATACCGAATGTTAATACCACGTAGAAACCTTTTGGTATCCAGATAACGGTTATTGTTCGTTTTATTTTGGTATCGTGTTTATAACGGTTCATATTATTTCATTCTGGTCAATACACTGTTATTACTGGTCCGTGTCATTCAATTCCCGGTTCACAACAAGCTTTTACCGGTCCATACAACCTAAATTACCAGTTCATATCATCATATATATCACAAATCTAGGTACTGGTTCACACTATCTAGGTACTGGTCCACACTATCTAGGTACTGGTCCACACTATGTAGGTACTGGTTCACACTATCTAGGTACCGGTCCACACTATCTAGGAACCGGTTCACTCTATCTAGGTACTGGTCCACACTCCACACTATCTAGACACTGGTCCACACTATCCAAGCATTGGTCCACAGTATCCAGGAACCGGTCCACACCATGTACTGGGTATCATATCCGTACCATCCAGACACCGGCTCATCCCATGATGGTACTGGTCAGCTGCTGGACCATACTATCCAGATGGTGGTCAGATACCGGTCCATAAGGTCCAAGAGGTTGTAGTGAACCCGATACCGGTCCACCTGAGTACGTTAGCCCCATGTAATCTGACCCCTCCACATAAGTTGGGGGCTGGGAGGTGGTGGTGGAGGGGCTGGCTTAGGAGGGGTGTGGTGGCAGAGAAAGGTAATGGTGGGAAGAGTGTGGTGGTGGGTGGTGGTAGGGAAAGTGTGGTGGTGGTGGTAGAGAGGGGATGGTGGTAGGGAATAGGTGGTGCAGGAAGGGGTTAGTGGTAGGGGATGGTGGTCTGGAGGAGGTGGTGGTGGTAGGGATGGGGTGGTGGTAAGGAATGGGCGTGATTGTGGTGATAGGGGGGATAGTGGTAAG